TTTGGGGCTGGAATCCCACATCTATTTTATAGTTTGTTTTGTCGTTTGAACCTGTTTGCGGCTGTATAAAACACCTGCAGGAGTGAGTCACCACAGAATAGCTGCCAAGGGTAGATTTCTCTCGATTCTGTCACAACCTCTCGGAAAGCCAATGGCAAAGATGTAAATAATACTAAAACCAAGGAGGATAACAGTTACAGTCACAAAAGCAGGACTGCAAAAAATGTGTGGCAAATTGTGAAAATTATGCCTGGGATATGTATACTGGACAATAAGATTTCTTTTTTTCCACAGTTCACTGGGCAAAGTTTGTTTTAGGGTGAGTTCTCCTTTAATATGTCCACGAGGGAGTATTTGACTTGAATAAGAAAGCTGCACATATGATCCTATCCATCATCAGCAAGATGGCTGCCTCCACTTTAATGCTCCTCATCAGCTGATTTTGACCAAAGTAAACTAAATGTGATTGTAAAAACACCTTATCTCAGCTCAGTATACAAATATTTATCGTTTTAAGGCTCCAGTTATAGTTTCTTCAATCAGAAATATTTGTCACATGACACAAAATGTAGTTATCTTGATGCTCAGATGGTTTTCAACATATTCTTTATAGCCAGCTTTAAAAATTACACAAATTGAACAATAACATTGAACTGTAAAAACCTAGATGACTTGTTGCTAGGGCTTGGAAACTTATTTAAAATATGTTGTTTAGCAGGAAAGTCGCTGTTTGGTTGTATGGTGAATATATCGTCACACCCTCATGACAGATTAAATTGCTTTTGCAACACACCTGTACGTCTCATTGTTCAATGAATGAAAGCTTAGTTTGCATACTTTTGAACTTCCCATAAGCACTGTGTTATTTTGGTAAGAGATTTTGTTCAACACACTTATTTTCTCAGTGAAGGATAGCATGCCAAAAAAACCTTTAACATTTTCATATAAAATATGTATATTTCATAAAAAACACATATTCTAAAGTTTAACATGGTATTAAAAGCAAATATAAGATAGATGTTGCTGAAATACTTTACAGGTATTTACAGTCATAATGTTGCACAATCTAGTTATATCTATAAAGATATGGACCCAGATTAAAATGAGAACAACTTATTTCATGATTCAGATATTTACAAATACCTTTTTCCTAGTACGCTCTCATGTCTTATGGCACAGGTCTGATTTGCCCTTACTTTGAGTTGCCATCTTTGTTGATAGGCTATATAAATCATACTTGTTTTTTTTTTTTAAGAAAGACATTTACACATGAATAGAATTATCGAGCAAGAGGTTGTTGTGCAACTTCAATATATTTTTTTTGTGATAATTTTCATACTTTAACATATTTAAGTTGTACATAGAAAAGATACAAGATACATACAGATATGTAACCAGAAAGTCTATTAAACATTAGGAGGAAAAGTCAAGGCATGACAGAAGCAGGCGCCTCCTGGTGGATGAAGGGAGACAAACACAGAAACACAAACACAAAAACAGGAGTCCTGACAATGATATATGTTTACATAATTTATTGGCTGCACCTAAAATATGAAATACATTTTCAATTAAACATAGATATTAAATAATACAATATAACCTACAGTGTCTTTAAATGTCCAGCAGGTGTCTGTGAGACAGTATCAACGCAGCATTAATATAGTTTGGCAATGAGTCGAAACACTTTAGGATGCCTCATTAACCCATCACTTGCAGACATTGCAGCTGAAGGTGGTTACTTGCAGATTTAATTAGCCAAAAAGGTTAACAGAAGCAAAAATCCCAAAACATTGATTCATAAATTCCAAAAATACTGAAAACCATGTATACTCACAACAAGGGGGCAAAGAAATAACGACAAACCTGCCCAGTAACTGAGCAGGAGTCACATATATGGGAGAGAGAAACAAAGAGCAGGCTAATCAGCAGATTGGGAGCAGGTGTGAACAGAGGAGTCTAGAAGGGAGCTAGCTGAAAGGAGACCGAAAGAAGAGGGCAAACAAGAAATACCTAAAAATAACTAGAATAACACAAAATGGAAATCAGAAATACTTTAATAATCCCAGAGGGAAATTACTTTTGTTACACGCTCCAGTTACAGTTTTATATAATATATACACACATCCAACTATACAATGTAATAAAGATAAAAAATAAGAATAAAATACAGCCAATGAAAGCTCAAAGATAAAAATTAAACAGAACCAAAACCACACATCACACAACAGTGATCCTTATATTTTAACTTATGAGTTATTTACCAACTTTATTTATTTATCAAGTTATTCAGAAGGACACAAGAATTTCCGAGAACCCTCAACCCCCTCACAAAATCTATGCCACATTTCCACCTCACAAATACAAATTTTCTGTTCCTTTCCACATGGACAAACAGTATTGGTTCACTTTTGAGCACATTTTGTTGTTCAAGATGACTTTGCCTGTTTGAATTCATAGCCAATAGGACTAGCTGATCAGTTATGACAATTATTCTCTAATTAATTATTCATTTTTTATTTTTTTATTTTTTTCAGTTCCAGAGTTAGGCTATATACATGTTATTAAGATTGTTGAGTGGATATAAATAAAAAATCATACAGGATTTTCTCTTCAGATTCTGCCTTCCTTCTCTTATTGCTTGGTGAAACCAAATACACTAAAAGGAGATTAAAACACAAAGGGACATGTGTCAACAACTAGCAGAAAAGACAAATGGGGCCCCATGTGTTGTCTAGTTCCTGGCAAGGAGGGAAAATATAAAAGTTCAGGAGGGCTGACAAGAAGGTGAAACATGGGTGTTCCTTGTGTACATGTCTTTGCCCTGCCCGAGCAAAGTGGAAAGCACCTCAGTGGAAAATCCTCAACGCAACAATAACAAGACATAATCCTACAGTATTACAGAAATATATGTTTTCTGTTGTGCTGAAATCATGACTAAGCTGAGCCCTGGTGTTGTTTTATTTCCAGTTCAAAGTCTTGTTTGACACTAAACCATGCTGAGTATTCAGGCAATTATTTTGTAAAAAACATTTATACTAATGTCCTAATAGCAGTTAGACATTGCTTATAGATGTTATGACATCAGAAAATCTAGGCCCTGCAAAGATGAGTGGCTCCCTTTTGCAGGAACAGCCCCATTGAGTTTGCTGGTTTTAGTCCAATTCCCTCATTTGTCCAAACCTAGTTTTCATTAGAAGATTTATCCCTGAGATCTTCCAAAAAACTGAGGTACCATTGCCTTATATAACCTTATATAGACAAGTACACTAATGCTTCTCACAACAGGCATTTGGTTCAGGTATTCACAGGTACACAGTTATGATTGATAATAAGCTGCACCCTTATTTTTAAGGGTGCAGCTTATTAGTATTATTACTTGCTAACCCTAACTATTTATAGCTCTGAAAAACATTGGATAATCTTTTTTTGTCATGTTTGTTTGCATGTATTTACTGCGTATCCATGGGATACATTCTCTTTTATTGTGGTTTGTGCGTTGTGTTTTTTTTACATTTTAGTTTAATGGTTTAGTGATATATTATATCCTACTTCTTTATGTAACTGGTGTCATGAAGAAGGTGATTTTAAGTGTTTATATTTTTCAATTGTGTTAATAGTAGATTGTAGGGCTATGGTTGCTGTTGTAAGCAGTAATAACCATACAATTACTTAAGAAATACTGGAAAGAAAAAGTGGGTTTTTCAATTGTCTCTTTTATTGTTATCACAATAATATTTGCCCATATTTTACTAATAATAGATTATTTTCAACTTATAATCCACTAATTTAAATGGTATGCTCTAATGTGTAAATATATAGAATAAACTTTTAGATTTTCCATGCAACAACAAACACAGACAATATGTTTGTGAATCTCTCTAGCCCTCATCTCTGCCAAGATCCTTCACAATATCTGGAAAGACAATAAATATAACTACCAACTGATCAACATATTTAAATGCCATGACAGTACATTAAGTTTTACATTTTGAACACAAATTATTTAAAATGGTTTTTCAAGGCCTGACAAAAAAAAAAAAAAATTATATACATGAATTAAAGTAATATTCAACTACCTTTTAAAATATCTAGGGCAGGTTACTTTTGCCTATACATGCAGCTTTAAAAACTGGATTTGAGAAGAGTTTTATTTTTTCTTCTCCCTTAATTAAACAATTGTTTTGTGTTTAATGATGTCATCACTAACCTATATTTAAATTAGAGTGTTGCTCTTGAGCACTTAAGTTTTGAAAACATAAAAGCTCTGGTATGGTTCATCTTGTCTGAAATGTTTCATAATATAGGATATTCCCAATTTCAGACTGACTAGTAGTGAAGCGGACTTATTTTAGAGTTGGAATGTACCTCTCCAATATTACATTGGACTTTTGGTAGATGGGAATAACTGACTGTTACCAACAGTGATAATTAATACCAAAACCATTGTATATTCTCACTGCGTCTTGTCAAGTCCTACTCACTGAATTTTGTTGCTGCTGCAGCCAGCTTTGCTGTGTCCGGGGCTGCAACTAAGGTGGAAGGTAATAAAAAGACTAGATTTCTACTGATGTGGGCAAATTCAGTATGAATTCAGTATGAATCGGAATAAACTCACTGACAGTTAAAACAAAAGGGAAACAGACAAGTTGCTCATAGTGAAGTTAATAATGAAAAGTAACATGAATATTTGTTCATACTCATATTAAGATCTCATTAGTACAATTTTTCAACTGGTATTTGTAAAAACAAAAATGAAAAAATACATTAGATTCAGGGAAAACAGTTTTTTGTTTTCTTATTTTGGTATATATTTAAATTTTTATAGTGTTACATAAAATATCTGTTTACAATAAATGCTTTTGGAAAACGAAAATCAAAAGTAAAACTAATTCATTTCTAAAAGAAAAAAACAAGCATGTGACCATTCAGAAGGTTTCCTCAGTTCAGGTATAAAACCTGTAACACTGAATGCTTTCATGTCAATCTGCTCTGAGACACACCAAGCTTGTTAAGCCAACAACGAGGTGAGGTCACTGACAATAACAGGAATAACAGGTGGATAGTAACTAGTTATGAATACTTAGTCACATTTACTTGAGAAACTTAAAAAAAAAAACTTTTAGGAGAAGTCTTACAGCATTTTACTTTTACTTGGGTAGGAATATGATAAAGTATCACTACTCTTACCTGAGTACAATTTTAGGCTATCATCCAATGTGAGTAGATTCACTTATTGAAAGCAAGCTTGCTTTAATCTCTCAAAAAGCACCATTGAGAGATCCTTTCCTAGTTTTTGTACTCAAAGCTTCCTGGTCAAATATTATTTTCAATCTGCTGAGTCTGCTTTGTGTTTAGGAGCTTGATGGAAAATATGATAAACAGAAGATTGTAATTTAACCTATTCTAAACTGTAACTATTTATATTTTATGTTTTCAAAATATCTGTTTATTTCATCAACATTTTTATTGTGTAATTATTGTTTGTTAGATGTTTGCTTTTACCTAATTTCAGACACCAGAATTTGCATATCACTTAATATAATAATTAAATTTGTTGTCATGTTCATGGGTACTAAGTAGATTATGTAATACTTGAGTCGCCTTTTTACCAAATACTTTTTTACATCTTACTTGAGTAATTTCTTTTAAGACTACTTCATACTTTTACTTGAGTAAAATATGATAAAGTATTGCCACTCATACTTAAGTACGAATTTCAGATTGAATATCTGCCTTAATAGTTGAAACCTTCAAGTTATTAAAAATTATTTAAAAGTGTTCAGTAATTACGTGTATATGCTAGCTTCAATGTACGCATTAAAATTGATATTAAATACTGAGCTTTGACTAGTTCATGATGAAAAAAAAAATCAGTGGTTCCTGAATGAAATTGCCTGTATAGCAATAAATGCAGTTTGTTAATTTTCCTTACTTTTTTTTTAAGGATAAAATAAAAATAAATGTTACTATATACGATCTTGTTTTATATTCCTAAAAGGGTCATTTTTCATATTATTATTTGAATCTGTTCCAACCTGGGAATTCTATATGCTCAGAATTGCAGATGATATCATATGAAATAAGTTACACCTATTCATTATGACGTTATGGTTCTGTTTTCTTGTTCAGCTTGAACCTTGCCTATTCTTTATTTATTCATTTATATTATTATTTTTTTATTTAATAAAAGCCTGTTCATCTGTAAACTTAGTCATAGATTGTTTTTCTTTTATTTATTTGAGACACAGTGTAGTCATCAAAGAATACAACTGAGTTCTATAATCTTTGTTGCAAAGCAAGTTATATTATATTTCATTAAGAGTTGTACCCTGCTATGTGTTTCTGCTTTCTGTTTATTTACCTCATACAAATGGCAAAAAGCTAAATGTGAAAGTTTGGACTTGAAAAGAAAAGTACACTTTAGTTTTTAGAAAGTAACATCAGACTGGCTTAAAGTTATAATAGACAACTGTTTTTCAGGAAATTCCTGCTCTGCAGAATATAAAAGCACAAATGTACGTTACCATCATAATATTAGCTGACACAGGACAAAGAGGTCATAAAGATCTGAACTATTTAATTCAGTTGAGAGAAGCAGGAAATAGAAGAATCCCACATCTCAGCGGCTGAAGCCATAGCTGTCCAATAAATAGCTGAGCACTGGACTTCCTGAAAGGCCTGACTTAGATCTTAATCCTGCTGTTTCTCTCTAATTGTTTTTAAAAGATGGTCTACATTGCCCTCTACAGGCAACTGTTTTAAAACTAGAACAACAGGATGAAAAAATAAATGATGGACAGGAAAAGAGCTGGCCTCTTTTGGGTTAGAATTATTGTTATTGTTGCGCTGATGCCATTTTTTGGCCCCGATACCTGACTGTGCAGTATTGGCCCATACCGACACCATCTGTTTGAAATTGATGTGTGTGTATATATGAAGAACTGCACACTACTTGGATGTAAAATAATTGCCATCATGGCTTTTTCAGGCTGCTGCCTACCTTTATGAAGCAGGAAAAAGACAAATACAATACTAACTGTTATGCAAAATCTTATTGTTACTGACAGAAGATTAACCGTTTTTCTCCTTTTTTTAATGCAAACAGCACATCTTCTTCACCATGATGAACCTCTATGAATTTGTCTTTGGACGAAAGTAAGTAACACTAAAAATATTAAGCAATATTTATTTTTTTAAAAAGAGAAAAACAATGCACCTAAAACCTGAAAGATATATTAATTATGAAAAACAACAAAAACACTTAGATAGTTATAAGAACAAAAAAAAAACAAAGATCAAGAAGTTGTTGAAGGTGATGATAGCTTTAGGCAGGAAGTGTCTTCTATAGCAGTGTGTCTTGC